CCTCCACAGACTATGCAAACTTCCTCCTGCCACAGAAATAGTAAAAAGAGAATGTTCATCTTACTGTAACACATCTCTTCAGACTGGTCACCCTCTGCTGAATGGCAGACAACAAGAAAACTAGTTGGCATGTGCTGCCTGCTGCACCGATCACCCTGCAGAATTGCACGAGGTGCAAAAATAGCTCTAGCAACAACTCAGCTAACCTAAAAATAGGGTGACACACAGAGCCTACAACTCTGTGGGGATGTTTGTTCTCAAGACTACAGGTGGTTTTACCATATACTCAATCTTACTGATGCCCTCATAGTATATTCTGTATACAGCTGCTTTTTGCTTAGTATTTCTAGATATTCTGTACTGGATTACTGAGAACCTTTACAGAAAGTATAATCCAGTTTAGATTTAAGTGCGTCTGAAACTGAAAACACTGGTTTTGGTTTCTTGTCATTTGTATCAGGTTTTATGACAGAAACTCACACCCAATATAACATACTGGCCTGTTCTCATCAGAATATAGATGAAATGGTGCAGGGGGGGTGTAAGACAGGAGCATCTCATTGCAGGATCGTCATTTAAACATCATCTGACATGCCTTGGACAAATAAAGAATTGTCTGCAAGACATTATGTATTACGATGACATTTAGTGCACATCGGAAAGGGGAAGAGTGGGGTGTTTTCTTGCTGGATCATTACCCTTTGTACACAATCAGCACACACATTCTCTCTTTCCCCTCTCAACTTCCCTTTTTTACAAAAGCCAAACATCACTCATCAGCATTCTCTTCAGCTGAGACATTTACCAACTGACCTGCTAAAAATGAGTCTGCTGCATTACAGCAAACCCAAAACTCTGTTCTAAAGGAGAGTATCTCATTTTTCCAGCATATGTCACCCTTTTCCATGAGCCCTTTCATTCTTTCTCTATGTGCTCAGCAGTGAATCATCACCTTCTGTCGTCACAACGTGCTGTAATATTTCATTAAAGCTGATCTTAACCTAACCCCACTGGCTTTTCAGTTGCTTTCATGATAATACTGTGTTTCACTCTGGGTTTTGACAAGTACAAACACATATACGCTGTCTGAGCTATGAAACATTTATGACCTGAGGGATATGTCTGAAGCCAACAATAACATAACTGACACAATCAAGCACAACTATCCTTCATGACAGCACTTACTAAGCTGTACAAAAGCATGTTTAGTAGACTTACTGCAATTTCCCAGCTTGGGATCAATAAAGTATATCTATCTATCTAAAATGGCAAACTGTCTCGTTCGGGTGAGACAGGTCAGGTCAGCAAATGAAAATCAAGAAAAGTTTAATGCATCCAAAAAAAAAAAAAAAGGGAGTCCTACCTGATGAGGAGCAGTCCTGACTAGTCTCTTCTCCAGACTGAAGCAACTAAATAATGCCAGTTAATAGCACAGTAAGCTCTCAACTGTTTCACCTCCCCCTCGCATTGGACACGGATGGATGTGGGTGGAGTGGAACTCATATCTCTCTCTCTCTCTCTCTCTCTCTAAAACACACACACTAACACTCCTCTACTGCTCTCTCTTTCTCACCCGTCATCTCACTCACACATTCAGTTTGAGCCATCAGTGTGCAACTGTGCAAGTGAGAGGAATGAAAACCTTTTCGAGTCTCTCTTTCATGCTACCCCTTGAACTCCACGCAAGGTTTTCAGTCTAATCAAACACCAGCTGTTTCCACTGATTAGTCCCTCTGCACTGGTTATTCACAGGCTACTGAGTGAAATCAGCTGCTATACTGTGGAAAAAACACCCTGAATACTCTGGGGTATACTCGGCACAACACTGACGGCCACTATAATCCACACTTTGCTTACATGCTGTATTAGCAGAGTTCATTATGAGTAATGCATGGCTAGTAACCTTAGAAACAGTTCATATGAACAAAAAAAAGCTTTTATTAGGTAATAACGTTATTTATTCATCTGAGCCTGTTCACTGTTGAAAACTTGTTTTGAAGAAATGCAGCATTGTTGTTTTCTCTCGCCTCTAGCTGAAAAGCGTGAAATGGCATGAAGGTGTGAAACTGAGTTATTTGTGACAGACAAACTTTCTGAAAGGCCAGTGTGCACAACTTACCATTATATAGCACGTACTTCTCTAGAAACTGAAACAATATTTTTTCCAGAAGGACAAAGAGACACTGTTGATCGAAGAAGTCTCTGAGTACTGTATTTCTCATGGTTTGATGACTTTTCAGTTTAAAGCAGTGCTTACTTTGGAACCTGGACATAACAAATATCACCAGCATCTTTTAGCTTGTGAACAGGAAGGGTTTAACTATAGAAGTCAAACATTGTTTTTAGTGCAGTGTCCTTCAACGACTTGACTTTATGTAGAGTAGCATGCTTTTTACTTATCTTAAATCTATATATATCACCTATATGCAGTACTCCAAAATACTCCAATACAAGCAAAAATTCTGCATTCAAACCTTTACTTTAAAAAGTATGATAATAATAATGATAATATCACTTCTGCATTTTACTGCTGTAAATGTTTGAGGTTGTGCTAATTTTAATAGTTTGATCTACAACAATGCATCATATTGTATGAAATCATCTCGCCTGTAGTGTCACTGCCCTGTGAGAACCATGTATCATTAAAAGGTCATCTTTTCATGAGCTCAGACAAACAGCTTTGTGATGACGTGTTTTCCAGAAAATCAAAGGAGTGGGGGGATCATAAGAAGTAAAAGAACATCTCATCCTTCAGTTTCAGAAAATATCATATTTCATAATCACCTAATTTGGAGATTGTTGGTTTTACTGGACAGAAAGGATATGAACAATTATAATGTAAATTAGTAACTAAAGCTGTCAGCCACTAGGAGTCGCCAAAGTGGGAAATGGTCAGATCATGTACACACTAAGGGTTTTTCATTATCAGTGGGAACCTTTATCATGGATCATGTTGTGATCACGGTTGTGTACAACAGAGGTATTTGTGATGGTGTGAATCCAACAATTTAGTGTTGTTTTAATTTTACCTTCTTGCTAAACAACTTATGATCACTTACTGAAATAAGTGCAATACCAACAGTATTATTTTAAAGCTTTATTTGCAGTAATTCTGTTAAATAATGAAGAGACCAATTTGAAACAACTTTTCAATTCTGTATATCTCACAGAACTTTGTGTCACTTTTGGTAATGACAACAGCAATCCAATTAAAACAGTTTTCCTGATTCATGTCATTATCCAAGACTTTTTGTTCATCACTGCGGTGAAAAGCAAGATTTAAGAAAAACCAGTGACGGAAATGCTGGAACGGCTTTGACATACAGATAGTCACAGTTTGTAAAGTCAGAGATATTGTCAATAGAGATAAAAAGTGGAAGTGGGGGATGAATTTAAAAATGTCTAAGATTACAATGTCATTGTGAATCAGAAGAAGAATCTTTAACGTCTGTGCTTTCCGTTGCCTCGCTGACTTCACTCAGCTCTTTGCTCTCTCCTCCACTGTCTCTCTCGCTTTCTCTCTCCTGGTCACCGGACCCGGACGGGCTTTGGCCCGACGGTGCCTCTTGACCCGACACACGCACCCCAGGCTTTCTTAGCTGTGGGACACAAAGAGAAAAATACGAACCCATTTACAACCAGAATCTGCTCATTTCACATTCTCCGTTCACACACCCCCTGAGGTAGTGAATCATATCTATGTTGCTATAGTGGATACACATAGAGAATTAAACCACCTCATCAGCCATGTGAGCCAGGTCTCTCTTCATGGCGTAGGCATCTTCCCCATCTGCGTAGTATTTAGGCTCTACTTCACTAATCCTGTGGAGGAACAACAATATAACACATCAGTTGCAGTCAGAACAAATATCTAAAAGTCAGGCACGTGGCTGCTATTTAGGACACTGAGGTCTTATGCTTTCTATCTTTATCATTTCAAGGGCTTAGCAAACTGCGAGGAGTTTACATTCTATATGAAAAGAGTTTTCTGTGCAGCTTTTCCCAACCAGAATTGTTTTCCTGATATTCAGAAAATATAATTCAATAATTAACTTAAATAAAAAAAAACAAAAAAAAACATAGTCCAAAACATTGTGAGACTTTGTTTTTGGTGTCTGGAGCTGTCTGGAACTCGATTAAGCTCATGGAGTAACAGATTATATATAACAGAGTTACATAATCAGGATACAAAAAAAAGGGTAACTAATGCGTGACAATAACCAGATTATGGTCACATTTAGTTAAAATGAAGATTATCCACCATGCACACTGCAGTGTGCACACATTACAACACTTCAGGACTCTTGCAACACCACTACACCACACTGGTCTCAAGTGAAACCATAACTAATCTTAAAGTTGCCAATTCATTGTCATGGCCTCTAGTGAAAAAAATGCTTTCACTGAGTGGAAGTGTCACCATTACTTTGTGTTTACAGCAGAAGAGGGTAAAGTGGTAGCCTTCCAGCTATGTAAATGGTCTTTAGTTTAGGATTTTGTTTGTTTTTTTAAATACACTGTGCAGAGAACATGTTTGATGCCAATATTAGTTTCACCATTGTTTTGTTGTCTTATAGAATATGTAAAAGTCATCTAATTGTTGTCTTTATTAACAATTCCGATACCTGAGATTTGTATATAGATTAATATCGAATAACAATCTGATACGTGTTATAAAAAAGATATAGGTACATGTATGCATTACTGTTTTTTAACAAGTGTATTCTACTAAACCTATATGATTGCTATCAATGATGTATGGCCTGCCTCAGGTTAAAGCCCTTGTCAGAGGCACAGTAGGGCGGTTCATGACTTTCCTATACTGGGATAAAAACAACGAATTACCAGGCTTATAAGTTACGTGGTATTGGATTGGTGTGCATTCACTGCCAAACACTTGTAGCTTAACTATTTTTTCTGAACTCAAAGATATCTTTGGCACTTAAGTGCTGCAATTTCTTTGGTGGACATGTACCAAATACTCACCGACACCAGTATATCTGCAGTAAGCTAATATCAGTCAATGCCAACTTATTCAACACCCCTCATGTCCTCAATATTTATGAGAATCTGAGCTATGACCAGGCCAACTGTGTAACAATACCCCCTAGGAATTCATGCATTTCAATAAAATTACTGAAATAATGTTGGCACAGAAACAGACTTACTGGAATTTGAGTGTGTTTGAGTACAGGTGCAGGGCTGCTCGGTTGCTGCAGTGGGGAGAAAAGATTGTAGATGGTACACATAGTTTGCAAAATGAAAACCGTACAATCATTTATCTGAACAAAACAAAGAGCGAACACGCTCACGGCGAGCTCTAAGAGCACGGTACCTCTTGCGAACATGAAGCGAGACATATTTAGCATTGAAGTTTTCTATCATGGCCCGGCTGGCCTGGTCCATCAGCTTCTGAGCCAGGCCCAGACGTCTGTGGGAGCGCTTCACTGCCTGGAAGACACAGAAAAGGGTTTTTACGTTAATGTTTTATGATGCCAGCCAAATACCTCAGTGATATAAAACATGGGATATAAACAACGGAGGAGATGGATGATGTTTCTCATTCAGACTCACCAGGGATGTGATGTGTCCATGGGGTACATCATCCGGGTCCTCCTCCCTAACAAGCGTTCAAACAGTTCATTAAAACACATTATATATCCCCTTTGTTCAAGTGATGTGATGGAAAATAAATGGCCACAGATACTCACATCTTTGCCAGCACATATCCCACAATTTTGCCATTTTCGTCCTCTGCAATGTATGAGAGCTGAAACGACGAAAGCGAAGAGTGTCAAACAAACACACGTAGAGACTGTAGATGAAGGGAGCAGTGGTGTTAGCAGAAAACAGCAGAAAGTGCACCGTAGCTCACCTGAGGCCACGACAATCCGTGGTAGAAATAATATTTCATCTGATAGTTTTCTGGCAGACACAGCAGGTTACAGTGCTGCATGTTCATAAGGTCCTCGGGCTGGAAGAAAGAAACTGGAAAGGTCAGAAAGGTGCCTGACACGATGCGAACCCTTCATCGGCAATAAGTGCTGAGCTAACGAGCAGCTGCAGTAACTAGCTTAGCTACAGGTTAGGAGAAACAGCATGGCTGTCGAGAGACTTCCAGCACTCTTACCCTTGCGTTTCGTATGTTCATTTTGTTAGTTGGCTTGTTATCCGGACTGTAGAAACACAAATCAAATGTACCACACCGGTCAATCAATTCATAATAATTACACTGTAAGGTTTAAAGAGATTCTCTCGCTAAGTCGAGTTGCTAGCCAGGAAGGGAGGGCAGGAAGGAGCGTGCCACAATAACGACCGCTACTTCCGGCCACAGTGCGCGCTGGGATTTCACAGTAAAAGTTGTAACCCTTGTATGAGGTGCGAGGACATAGCATAAAGTACTTTTATTTTGAAGGATGCCTTTTACCTCGATAAGGACCCGGATGTTGAGCTGTGGATCGTATTGTCGCAGACTTTATAAACGTACAGTAAGTATCAGGCTGGGTAGTTAAAGCAAAACTGGATTATTAACCAGGAAAAACAATTGTCACAACATTCCCCCACTAAAGTTCAATATCAACTGTCTTATTGCCTGACCTTGTGGTCCTTTGGGGGGCTTCTGTTTAAATATAGCTAGTTATAAGTCCATAATTCATTATTTCAGTATTGTGCTCACCTGATCCCTATTCCTAAATTAACTTGTATTTAATCAAAATACCACTAATTCTACAGCAACCAAACCTGCATGAGGCTAGTCAGTGTTTTGCCAGTGTAAGAGTACTGGTCTCTGGGCTTATAAAGCTGCCATGCTTTCTCTGAGTTGCACTCTTATTTTCATGATCCATAGATTAATTGGTCTTCCTTGATTAGGGGGACAATTTACTCTCAGTTCGTATCAGTAGATTTCTCCTACCACAACCAGAGGAAAAATAACTTCCACATCCATAATTCCAGATTAAGTTGGTTCAACCTATTCGAACTATGAACGACTACTAAAAGCCACTAAAAATGTAACATGTCGTCCTCATGTGTTAACAGTCCTCTTCCACAGAGGCGGCCACATTTCTACACTAACCCAGAATGGACAAACCAAACACTGGCTCTAGATGGGACCTTTCACGGTGAGGCGAGGGGGTTACAATCTGCAACTACACCGCTGGATGCCGCTAAATCCTACACACTGGTCCTTTAAGTAAAATGTATTACTGTATTAAATGTATTAAATGTATTAGCATGAAAAGTTAGTATTAACATAAAAGTATTATTATTAAAATGGAATAGATATCTAAAATGTGATTGGGATGACAGACTGCACATGTTCATATGAACAATTGTTTATATTTACAGCAAGTGTAAAAAATATTAACAGGAACTGAGAAAGTGTTAAATGATGCAGTTGTTCAGAGGAGATGGCTGAGTGGTCTGTGATGGTTGATCTCACTACTTGATGCCGTCAGCAACTGTTTCTGTGGGTGTCTCTTCAATAGCTGAAGTGGTGGACATACTTGAGGTCATTATGAGCAAGCCACATGCAATTACAGCCTATTACATGAAGGGCTGTAAGAAAATGTCAATACACTTAGGTATTTCAATATTTTGCTTTTTGATATTGTACTGTTTGTGTGTTTAAACCACTAAACGCTAGATTGCAGTGTTGTAAGATGTTGGATGTTACATGGACCGTGATAAATGTATATCCCCCTCCATTGGTTGCATAAAATAATAAACTTTTATACTCAGCTTTTATGCATAAGGTTGTATGTTCTTTTATAATATTAAAAAAAATGTAACTGCAGTATATCACCTTGCTTTAAGTATCGCAATATATCTTAATATACTGAATCGTAACCCCTCTGTCATGATAAGTAACATATCATCAATATGCTTTGTTTACAACTTGATAGTATTGCTAGCTCGCTAACACTTAAAACATAGAGCAGTGGTTCTCAACCTAGGGGTCGGGGACCCCTGGCGGTCCTTTAGGGGTTTCAGGGGTCCCTGACACGTAAAAGACTGAGAACCACTGACATAGAGGTTTATTAGATAAATAACCTTTAATTACCTTGTCGTCATAATTTGACTTTCTGTTCCCCGGTGCTTTTTATGCAGTGTCAGCCAGAAAAGACACAAATAAAACAAGTATATATAGAGAGAGAGACTTCCTCAATTAACTTCTGCTTGAGATAGTTACGGCACGTCACATTCAAGAAGCTGGAAAGGATTTGGAGAAAATGTCAAGAAGACCATCTACATGTTATACTTTTGTAACATTTCATGGCTTTGGTGAAATCTGTACAGGGTATTCTGATGGGTTATGCTGACAGATGTTTTTCCCCTTATTTTGTTGTTATTACTGTTCCTATGTAATTTGAATACTTTTATAACGCATCTTTAGGTTTTATAATGATGAAAATAACAGATCATGTGCAGTACAACAGGGAAAATGTAAAAGTCTATCCCAATATGTATAACTAACTACATACTAATTTATGTCTATTTTGTAGAGCTTCTTTATTTATGCCTATTCTGTGTATGTACATTGAGTGCAATGCAAAACTGCAGTTAAATAACTGGAATGTGTTCACATACCTGGCCAATAAAAGTAATTCTGGTTCTGATAAGAATAGGTTATTAATTTACTCTAGGTTATTATTCATTTTCCTCTACAGAGTTGTATTTGGTTTCATAGTGAGCTTATAATTTTAAAGCGCTCACTTTACCTATCCCTATTTATCACCTATTAGTTATACTGTATATTTCAAAATGTACTGTGACAATCCTTCTTTCTATCACCACAGCCAGTTTGTTGCTATAATAATTGGCCAGTGTGCTAATACTTCAGGTAAAAGTACTGGCATCCAATCAGCAGTCTAACATGCAAATGTAGCAGGTGTCGCCAGGGAGGGACTGTAGAGGAAACAGATATTTTTGGACTAACACCCTCTGTTCCAGGCGGTGTGTCAACATTTTACAGGAATAATACCCTAAATAAAGATCTTCAGGTTCATACAGAGGAAGATGACAACTTTCACATGTGAGATAAGAGCTCTGGTGGGTTGTTGACTGATGGCGAGATCAGATTGCCGCTCTGCTGCTATTTCTCAGATATGGAACAGTAATGAGTGGAAAATGTGATTATTTGAGTTTTGTGAGGAACGGCAAAGAGCGACGGTGTGGCTGAAGCGCTTTTCCAGATGGAGACAGACCTGAAGCTGGAGTCAAGTTTGTGGGTCGGGAATAAAAGATACCTGGCGGTCCTGACGGGCTGGCATTTCAACTGGACCGAGGTAGATAAGAAGAATCGCGACAAGAAGACAAGTAGGTGGCCCTTAACTAATCATCTCTCGATCTGTAGCCTGATAGCGCTAAATATACGTTCTCGTTGTCACAATGTTGCTGTGTGCCACCTGTTTAAAAACTTGTTTCTTATCTTCACTGAACTGACCTTAATAGGACTGATGACAAACGAGAAGTAGTCATTCTTTAGAAGTAGCCTAGGAAACAACATAAACAAAACAATGTTTAGTACACCTTATATGTGATATTGGACTTCTACAGGAAGGGAGCGCTTCAATTAAGCCTATGGCTGCTTGCAGAAAACGTGAAGAACAAGTTAAACAGCACTAACACGAAACACAGCCTGAGACAGTGTACTGAAAACAGGCTATACAGTCCTCACACACCTTCAGGCACAAGGTTATAATATAGGATTCATTCTTTAACTATAAAACAGTTTTTTTCAACACACACACATGGAAAGTGTTTGCTTAACAACATCATGACGATACATTTTTAACACAGTAGTCAATTCAGTTTCATTTATATAGCACAATCAGAATCAGAATCAGAATCGGTTTTTATTGCCCAGTAGGTTCTTACATACAAGGAATTTGCCTTGTTATATCAGTGTATAACAATAAACACTGTATGAGAAAATTATACATAAAGTTGAGACAATAAAAATAGACAATATGTACAGTGTGACTGTATTTAAATAAATTAGTGAAGAGCTGCACAGTTCCAGGACATGTGCAAGTTTGCAAAATCACAAGTAAAAAATGTTGGTCTCTAAAAAAAAAACTCAGACATGCAATAGATGTTGGTTGTACAGAATAGACCAACATAGTAAAATGACAATCAATCAGGATGAGAAAATTGAGCTATTGATAGAATGCACACATATACATTTACAATATACACAAGGGTGTGATATGTGATATGTGCTCAAATCAATAGCCCTGAAAATATCGACCAAAAGAAGACGCTATCATGTTTTACGAAAGCTGTATCATCCAAAACTCTCATTAATAGTCCTTTCTTATAACTAATAATATGGATGATGTGCCAGCATACACAATAGGCCTTTTTCACAGCAGTTTGACTTATCATACTTGGAAAAGCACCAGATGTTATTCATAACGTTAATGATGGCTCTGTGTCCCAGTAAGCCATGACCAGTGAGCCAATAACAATACCAGGATCCTGAACCTGAAGCAGCTAAATCGATTAGTAACACATGTGCTTTTTCTGCTGTGACCTGTCAAATAAGCCCTAAAACAGAGCTCTGGCATTAGAACAATGGGATGCAGCCATTATTAATTTTATTAAATTACACCTGTGCTTAAACAGCTTTAAAATATTCCATTCATTGTATGCAAGGAAGCGTGTCCACTGATGTCTGCACTGTGTGTGTTTGTCTGTCTGATTAAAGTTTCAGTGCCGGTGGCAGAGGTGGTTGGAGTTGAGGATGGTCTGGTGGAGATCCTACCCCAGAAGTCAGTTGAGGACACAGACAAAGACTTCACGGGTGGGTGCTCTTACTCTCTAAGATATCACAAACCCAAGGCCACAGTCAACGCTTAAGTGAATAGTAATAACACAGACTGAGGCCGTGCACATCTTCTGCCGTTGAGTTTCAAATGAGATTGTGAATAATTTGCATACAGGTACACGATACGCTCGCTTTACAATTCAGTCAAATAAGTGCCTGTAAACCTGTCTAACAGCTTATATTGTAGAATTATAGTGTCGTTTTGACTTCTTCATCTGTCATCCACCTCCAGTTTTCTACATAAAGCGCAGCAGCAGTGGTGGCTCTTATGGGTTACTATGGAGACTGGGCCGGACCCAGTTCAGCTGCCCTAGCCGGGTCCTCAGAGACCAGTGGACGAAACACCTAAGAACTGCTCTCAAAACCCACAGTATGGATGGATAATTATATAAATTAATAACACAAAGCTGATATTATGACTCCTATGTCTATGATTTTACTAATAATGATTAATTATGTTCAAATCCCCCAAGAGTTGGCTGGCTCTTTGTTAATATTTCAATATCTTTCAGGTCCGTTGCGTCCACACAGGCTGTTGGTGTTTATAAACCCATTTGGAGGAAAAAAGAAAGGAAGAAAGATCTACCATTCTCTGGTTGCCCCACTGTTTGAGCTGGCTGGTATCAGCTCTCATGTAATAGGTAACGACAAAATGGTGTTATACTGGTTTTATTTTGTTTAGAGAGAAGTTTAATATGTTACTGATGCAAATGCTACTCTGGGTGAAGCGTTATGTCTCCTAGATGGACTGACCTACTACTACTACTAAAATTTAAAGTGATATGTAATCATAACATTTATTGTTTAGTGACTGAGCGGGCGAACCAGGCCAGAGACCATCTCCTGAAGAAAGACCTGACAGGTTTTGATGGGTAAGAGCTATCAGCACCGCAGTGCAAACACTGTGGTGTGAGAGCATTATGCCAGCTAAGCTCGCTGGGAGGTGCTTTTCCTAACAGAAACTCTTGTGTTTGTTTATAATAGTGTGGTGTGTGTGGGTGGGGATGGCATGTTCAGCGAAATACTTCACGGTTTGATTGGGCGGACACAACAAGAGGCAGGCCTTTGTGAGAACGATCCCGCTGTCACTTTACAGCCTTGTCCGCTTCATATTGGCATAATCCCTGCAGGTAATGACACTGTTAATAAGTATTAATGAACTGATGGAGCAATAACAGCAGACATGCACACACCCTGTTGTATTGTATCTGTTGTAGGTTCTACAGACTGTGTGTGTTATGCCACAGTGGGAGTGATCGACCCTGTTACTTCAGCTTTGCACATTATCGTTGGTGAGAAAAGACAATCTTTTAATCACAGTTTTTTTTATCAAGATATTAAAATACCTGAGCAATTTTATCAACTCTGAGCTCCACAGTTTATCTTATTTCCCACAATACCTTGCAGGAGACTCTCAACCTTTGGATGTGTGTTCAGTTCACCAAACTTCTGCTCTGGTGCGCTACTCAGTGTCTCTGTTGGGTTATGGCTTCTATGGTGACGTACTGGCTGAGAGTGAAAAACACCGTTGGATGGGACCTCTGCGATATGACTATTCAGGTATGGACGGATGAGTCATGAACAGAAATGACTGCATGCTGAATTACATTAGATGCTGTTAGATTCTCTGTATTTATTTTTAGCGTAAAGTTAAAAATTCATTCTGAAACCTCATAACGCTTTGACCAAGATGAAAGGATATTATGTGACGCATATGCTCTTTTTAAAATAGATTTATGTAACGAAGCAACATTTCCTTGCCCATGTACCTTTTTAAAATCTCATGTATACATTTAGTGTTGTGTATTTTCAGCTAACTTAATTGTGCTCCTTCGTCTAGGCACAATGGTGTACCTGAGCAACAGAAGCTATGCAGGCATAGTTCAGTATCTACCAGCAGACCCAGTGTTCTCCAGCCCGAGAGACCGAACACGCTGCCTCACAGGGTAAAACACCAACTTTTGACAAGACATGACATAAAGAAGGGTGTATACAATTAATAATAAACACAAAACATACCTCCAAAAAAGAAAGTAAATAGTATTACAATGTGCACACTAGATCTTGGTCTGAAAGAAGATCATAGTAACATATAAACCTGTAGAAAGGTCTGTTATATTCTTTGGTGACTAATCTTATTCCCAGCCTTTCCGCCAGTGCTCATCCTTATCTAGGCTATCTAAGGATGAGGGTGCTTTTAAGCGTCCCTCTTAATGAGAAAGAGAGAAAGTGTTGCTGGTAGTAGCATCATTATTATTTGAGCACTAGTGAAATGGTTCAAATTCACTGATCGAGACACTGTAACTTCTACCTGCAGCAGGGGCTCAGGTATTGGATGCACCTTAAGGCGGGGTAGGAAGCACGTCAAGAGGAACTTGATCTAGATGAAAGGTGAGCCTTGGCCTCCTGATAGAGCGCACAAGGCCTGGTTCTTTGTCTGAGGCAGCTGCCTCTGGCTGTCAGCTAATAGTTCTTGATGCTCTTATGAATGGGTGTCAAGGTCGAGGAGCTTGTTATTTCACAGGCTTCCAGCCAGACTAAAATTCTTTGTATTGTGTGTGTGTGTGTGTGTCGTGTTGTGTGTTTGTGTGTGTGCGCATTTAGGTGCAGTGTGTGCTCCAGAAGCACAGAAAGACTTTTCCCCCACTCTTCGGATTCAGGCTCCCTGTACAGCTCCCACTACAGCCAATTCAGTAGTGACTCAGAGGGTAAATACACACACATTAAAGTCCTGTTGTTGTGTTTTGTATATTTTAGCCCATTTAGCAGCACACATCATGAATACTTTAAAGCTTTCTTCCTCGCCAGGTTGCACAATATGATTCTTCCTTCTAAGATTGTTTTATTTAAATTATTAATAGATGGCTGAAGGGGTGATATTATCCAGTACTGTGACTACTAATGTGAGATGTGTAGAAAAAGTGAAAAAACTTACATTTGTTACAGAAATATGTTTTCTTTTGCTCTGTTAATCATCTCAAGACCCCTCAGATTTGTTTTTATCAAACAATTACAGCAAACCAAAGTTTGTCTGAGAAGTAAAGAACACACAACAGTGAGCAGTAAAGTATGCATGATGGGCTAAAGCATGCAAAGACACCAGTATGGTCATTAAAGAATCATCAATGATATACAGTAGGACGTTTTTGAATCCAGCATCATCTCTCTCTCTCTTGTCTGTCCAGGTGAGTGGGTGACTGTGGAGGGCAGGTTCAGGTGTGTGTCTCTCACTTGTATGTCCAGCTCGTGTCCCAAGAGTCCTCTGGGCCTGTCTCCCTCTGCCCACCTGGCGGACGGAACAGGAGACCTCATCCTGGTATGGGACACTCACCCGTTGGGATTCCTCAAGTTCCTCTACAGGCACACGAGCACAGAGGACCAGGTGTGGGCACTTTCACATTAAAACCAAGCTGGAACTAGGGAGTTTAAACGCTGCTTGACGCAATCTCTCCTCCCACTTTACCTAGTTTGACCTGCCATTTGTGGAGGTCCACCGCGTGAAGGCTGTCCGTTTCTCTGTCCCTTCGAGCAAAGAGGAAGAACAGTATGAAGAAGTTGGAGGGATGAGTGGTGAGATAGATGAAGAAGAGAGAGGCTACGTCGAGACTGTGAGCAGGAATGGATCTCAGCAGCACCTTGCAGAGAGAGGCACAGGGCGAGATTTGACAAACGAACAGAAAACGACGACTCCCTTCCTGTGTGGTCTATGCTGCAGTAAAGCTCCTACTGTGTCAGTTTGGAACTGTGACGGAGAGATCCTGCCTTTCACTGAGATCTTCTGCAGGTAAAAGAGTGCAAGAGAACTCCATGTGGTGTTTTGTGTATTCTCAAACCGCACTGTATTATACTCAATACATTTTTGAATTTTGAATTAAATTTTTATTTCTGATTCTGATTCTGATTCCTACTGTTATCATATGTCAAGTTCAAACACAAAAAAGTGTACAGATAGCAACTTATTTCTCAGACGTGCAGTTTTAAACTGTGTTCACTCCTTCTCTCAGGATTCATGGCCAGTTGGTGCGTCTGTATGCCAGAGGCATCGAGGACGGAGCAGCCGTACACAACTGCAGCGAGGAAAATGACCAGTTTGAAAGGACATCCTTCTCAAATGGTCTCGCCTAAATGTTGGATGATGAGAGAAAAGTGACAATGGGAATGTTTCTAGGGCAAAGGCTAATTTGTATATTTGAGAGAAAGGATAGCCAGCTTTGCAGTCTGTCTTGGCCAAAGAGTTCCTAATATTTCAGGTACTTTTACATTGAAATAATGAAAAAAAAAAATGTATTCTTGAATAAGTCTGTTTGTTGAATATTGCTCCTTAAAAAAACATTATTATAAAACTTGCTAAATTATACACTTATCTGTAGTACAGGTTTTTCTGCACACAAACTTGTATACAGTGTTTGGTCTGCAAATTGTATTTATTTTCACTTTAGCATACAGGGAATACAATCAAGGTCAACAGAAGTTAAATGACAAAAAACATGACTTGACTCTGATTTATTGCAGTCAACACTGGTTCAGTAGTGCAGCAGTGTAACTTTGCAGCTGAATAGCAGCAGCAAAAGCTTCCTTTTTGTTTTGCATAAACAATCAGGCAGTAGGAACTTTGTTTTCCTACTGTGATCAAAAGAGAGCTTATGAGATTATAATATTTTAAAATATATCTTTACTATTTTTAGTGTCAACATAGTTTCCCATACTGACAGACCATGATATTATAATTGCATACAGTAAATGTTGAGTAACACATGAAAGAACAAATATGTTCCAAGAAGAGAAGTTCTTTAAACACACACAAGCACTTCCCGTGGCCCTCCGAGTACTGGCAGGATCACCACCAAATAGTGATCCTGTGAGTGAGTGAGTGTGTTTGTTGATGGAAGGCCCCCAGCTAGACCAAACACCTGGTAGAGACAGACATAGGTGACAACATAGGTCTGCTGCAGGCAGTTAGAGGAAATCCAACAAATGTAAAAGTAAAATTAAGTTGTAATGTTGAAACTCGTTCATGCATTGTGAGAGATTAATCGTTACAAATGTTATTAACAATCATTTATAGGTTTTATTTGAATGTAGCTTAAAACACCTACCTGGAAGTCATTCTTACCCGAAACAGGGCACTCAAACTGGTTTCCTTTGTTATTGAGAAAGTGTTATGTTCTTACAAACCAGACCAACAAGCCCTTCTAGTATAAATATTATGTGGTGTTGCTGCTTTGCATGCATCACGTTTAGTGTCATCGTGGTTTAGTGATGACTGTAAACATAGGTCTGCTGACAGCAGAGGACAGGCCTCATATGATTTTCTTGTTCCACAAGTCTCATATGTCTTAAGGCCAGTGTTGTTAGGTGTGGCCAATGCTAGTAAAAGAAAAAAGAAAAATGGGCAGGCAGAAGAGTGAATGATGATTTATTTAGAAATGTATTAACTAAATTTCAGATTTACAGGTGAACACTCAAATCAAGCTACTACAGTCATTTTTATCTCCAGATTCATTCTTGAATGATTAGGGCTAAAAAGCAGTGGTGTTTTCTTTACATGCAGACAAAATCAGACAACGGTACAGCAGTGAAAGATTGCAGTCAAATTTATTGTTTGTAAACTCGCCGACAGTGGTGTGTGTGTGTGTGTTCATGAGTTTTGTGGGTGTGTGGGCATGTGTGTGACAGAAGGCATCATGTTGTGTGGGGCTTCACCCACTTGTATTTTCCCTCATAGCGGAATCCCACCCTCTTCACGAGATCATCCGCCTCGTTTGGACCACGACTGTGGATGCAACAAAGAAAAGACAAGGGGAAGAGAAATTAAAAAGGACAACCTGCATCATGTTTTTATTCCTGTCTCATAAAAAAGATGATTTTACCTTCCATATGTGTAAGGGATGGGGGGTGTCTTCTGTGCCTCTATTTGTTGGAGCAGGGGGGTGAAGATCTTCCAGGCCTCCCGTAACTCATCACTGGAACAGAAAGGCGAACAGTTCAGGTCATAAAATAGTACATTAAAACAAACTACCTAAACAGTGAACTATGACAGTAAATGGTACAACCAACCTGCGGACAAAATGCATCTGATTTCCACAGAAGACATCCAGTATCAGCCTCTCATAAGCATCTGGGAGCTTCACATTCTAGAGGAAGATGACAAAAACTGTAAATATCTGCTTATTTCAGGTTCAGTGATCTGTCTTAATATGAAAGTGGATGGTCTTTACTTGGATAAGATATGATGGATAGGATATCATAATATTTTATTTTATTTTAATTAATACGATAATATTTAACAATTAGGTGATGAAATTCTTGATTCTCAAAACTGTCTTAAGCCTATTGAGCGCATCCTTACACCATCAATACCTCTGTAAAACATTGATTATCTATCAAATGTCACATGATATTTTAGAGTATGTTAAGGATGAAATAATAACTAAGTGTTAATAAATAAAGTTTGACCAACTTATCTTAAGAATAAAGTGATACCTTCTCAAAGGAATTTACGTTAACACACTGACAGTAGACAAAAAATATTCTAATACTGAAAGTTGGACCTGAATGATAGACCACAATGGATACCTTGTATCTGCTCCTGTAGGTGAGGTCCAGCTCAGTCTCCTCTGGGCTGAAGTAAACCCCAGGCCTCTTTGTCATCATCTTCAGGTAAATTGCTTCGTCTGGCTGCACCCGCACCACCAGCTCGTTCCTCTGACAGCGTTCATTGAAGATGTCTCCTGGCACGTCAGTGAACTGCAGACGCACTTCTGCCTTCCGCTCATTCAAAGCTTTACCACAGCGGAGAATGAAAGGAACTCCTGGTGGAGAGGTGGATGATGTAAGGACAGACATGAAGGGAGAAAATCAGAGGGGACGTTTTAAAAAGACAAGTGAGGGAAAAAAGAAAGAAAGATGAAAATATGTTTTTCCTCACCATCCCATCTTTCATTCTGAACATAGAGCACTGCGGTGGCAAATGTTGGTGTACAAGAGCCTTCTGGTACAGTGGGGTCGTCAAGGTAACCCAGCTTGGAGTGGCCTTCCCCCTCAGGGTCCCCCACATACTGACCGAGCACCACATCTGACACAGCAACAGGGGCGATGCACTTCAGTACCTTTACCTACAGCACATCAATAATTACAAGACAGCATGAATGCAATGACATTGACAGAATACATGCAGAATGTGAACAAATGTCCTTCTGTTTTCAATCATTCATTATTTGGTGTCACCTTCTCATCCCTCACGTCAACTGGGCTGGTGGAAGCAGGTTTCTCCATGGCAACCAAACAGAGCATCTGGAGGAGATGGTTCTGCATGACATCTCTACATCAACAAACAAGAACTGGAATCAGGGCAGGTAGAGGCTCCAGTGTAACAATAAGTATATTCAGTGTTGTCACTTTTATTTGAGTGTACCATCTCTCACCGAATAATACCAAAGTCATCGAAGTATCCTCCACGGCCCTGAGTGCCAAAGGGCTCCTTAAAGGTGAGGACCACACAGGCCACGCTGTTCCTGTTCCATATGGGTCCAAAGATGCGATTTCCAAACCTGAAAGTGAGAGAATAAAACACTGCTGAAATAAAACCCTAGATACTAGCGAAAGAGGAAGAGAAGCGCTTGTGAAATCTACAAGTCTTGTCTATGACATTTACATTTATACCAGTGGTAAAGTGCTTGGAAAGGTGCGTATGGAACTTGTTACCTGAGCACCATCAGGTTCTGGACCATCTCTTTGCCAAGGTAGTGGTCTATGCGGTAGATCTGGTCCTCTATGAACAGGGAGGAAAGGTGGGCCGACAGCTCCTGTGAGCTCTGGAGGTCACGGCCAAAGGGCTTCTCAACAATTATCCTGTTCCAGCCTCTGTGTTACAAACATAGCGGATTAGAATAATATGATCAAATAGCAAGTGAATTGAATGGACTTGTGAGTGTAACAAAGACTGACTTGAGGCTCATGCAGTGGGCTCTAATGTTTGTGCTAACATGGTGGTAGACGGTAGGTGGCAGAGCCAGGTAGAAGAGTCTGTTGGCGTCAGCTCCCCTCGGTAGAGATGACAGATGCGTGTTGAGTTGAGCAAAAGAGCTGCCATCATCGTACCTTCCTTTAAGGTAGGAGTTCCTACTGAAGAAGGCTGAGAGACTCTCACTCTCTTCTTCAGTGACCTGAGGGAAATGTTGAACAATGATTGCGGAAAACACACCCCAATCAATATTGTCTTAGATAGCCATCAAGGAGCCTTTAGCTGAACTACCTTCATATGAGGCAGACATGCTGTCTTGATGTCCTCCACGGTCAGGTTAGACCGGGCAAAACCCACAAAGTAGGTGTTGTCTGGGAGCAGGCCATCTCTGAATAACCACCTAAAGGAGGGGCAGAGTCAGTCAAAAGCACTGAGGCAGAACAGCAGGGGTCAAACTCCTCATAACACAAACTGACCAAACCACTTTAAAACAACTCTGTCTGGGTTTGTAATTACTCACCATAAAGTTGGATAGATCTTCTTTTTTGCAAGATCCCCCTGCGGAAATAGTACAAATTAAAAAAAAGAGATCTGATCACGAACCTCTAATCATAATCTCTGTGGCTTAAAGGAGAATCAATCAGAGTCCAAAGAGCAGGTAAACTTTAAAAATAAGCAGTCAGTCACAGTGTGTAATGTGAGAGCTTTGAACACACCCTCTTTGCAGGACTTTGAGACTTCATTCAAACTGAAATAGAATACTTGCTTTGGAAAAATAAGGAAAAACAAACAAGTACAACAGAGAAAAACAGATATTTTGCAATTTGTATGCTCAACGTGATAAAATGTTCCCCTTCTTTCAGTGCTTGACAAAGGGAAAAGTAGATGCAGCACATTTCAGTCAACATGAGCTCATTCCCTGGCTTTCATATTCTGATTAGCACAACACAATATTACCCAGTGAATTGTTCTCCTGTGAGGCTTTGTGTCAACTCTGCTGGGCTCCTGTCACTCTTGATAAACATA